AACCCTCCCGATACACCCAATCACAACACCAACAATGGGCAGCGTCAGCACAAACTACGAAAACACGGCCGCCCCCGGCGTGCCCTTCTACACCCCGGCCCAGGTCCCTCCGGCCGGCACCCCGCTGGACAAGACGTCGGCGCCGACGCTCTTCCAGCCGCTCAAGATCCGCTCCCTCGAGCTGCACAACCGCATCGTCGTGTCTCCCATGTGCCAGTACAGCGCCGACGATGGCCACCTGACAGACTACCATCTCGTGCACCTGGGCCAGCTCGCCCTCCACGGCACGGGGCTCATCATCGTCGAGGCCACAGCCGTGGAGCCGCGCGGCCGCATCTCGCCCCAGGACGCCGGCCTGTGGAAGGACTCGCAGATTGCGCCCATGCGCCGCGTCGTCGACTTCATCCACAGCCAGGGCGTCAAGGCGGGCATCCAGATCGCGCACGCCGGCCGCAAGGCGAGCACCCTTGCGCCCTGGATCGGCGGGACTGCCACCAAGACGCTGGCAGACGAGAGCGTGGGCGGCTGGCCCGAGGACGTGGTCGGAGCCAGCGCGATTCCCTTTTATGAAGATCATGCTCTGCCCAAGGAGCTGACCAAGGAGGAGATCAAGGGCCTTGTGCGCAAGTTTGCCGAGACGGCGGAGCGGGCTGTCAAGGCTGGGTTTGACATGATTGAGATTCACGGCGCCCACGGCTACCTGATTTCCAGCTTTTTGTCGCCCCGAAGCAACGTAAGTGATTTTGTCCAATAACGTGTATAACCGCTTTTGATGGGCATGTTGGCTGACATGTGTGCCCTTTATAGAAACGAACCGACGAGTACGGCGGAAGCTTTGAGAACCGCATCCGCTTCGCCCGCGAGGTGACCGAGGCCGTCCGCGCCGTCATCCCCGAGACGATGCCGCTCTCGTTGCGCGTCTCCGCGACGGAGCTGATGGAGTGGACGGGCGAGGAGTCGTGGACCGTCGACGACACGATCCGGCTGGCCAAGCTGGTGCCCTCGTGGGGCATCGACATTTTCGACGTCAGCAGCAGCGGCAACAGCTACGAG